AATTTATATGTTTATAATACATTATCTTAGACAATCTTATAGTTGGTTATAATATAAAGAGAGACGTTTCTCTATTTTGAAAGCTATTAAAACCTTCCAATTTGAAATGAAAAGGGTGAAATTGTAAATCTATATATAATAACTAATATTACACGTAATTTATTTCGGATGTATTGCGATTTTACTATAAATAAAGACACAGTATGTGATTATATATTTATTGAGATTATATAATGCCCATATCTCTTTTACATGGAAGGAAGGCGAAGCATTCTTGTGTTTCAAACAGCCACGGCCCAGTGGAGATCAGTGATTGGTTTCACGTCATGGACTGGGGCAGCTTGCTTGAGGCAACACCAGGAAGGACGGGATCTTGGAACGGCTATCATTGCAAGAGACAATTATTCTATTGATGATATATTGTCAATATTTGTCAGCAGTATTGAAAATATAGATGTCGAGGAGATTAACAAAATGTCTATTTTCAGGTTTGCTTGGAAGATATTGATGTAGACGCGGATATTACAAGAGATTGTAGATGTTTAAAACTATCTAGATCATCAAATTTAATTCGTTCAGAGGAAGAGTGGCATATTAGAATATTGGGTATTGTAGTTCGGAAAGTTAGTTTTCATTAAAGATTCAGAGCAGAAATGATGGGGTATATTTTTTTAATCGATCTGATATTCTTTTCCGTTTCTGAAAAAAAGATTCATTGTTTAATTCTTGAAGATATAAGTAGTTTGATTCCAAATTTAAAACATTGCGTGATACGTTTGTGCTATCTGTTCCGAGTTCAGGATGATGTCACAATAGGTGAAGCGATATTTTGATTTGATTATTGGTTGGGTCATAAGAGAAATAGAAAATTCTTTGATGCTGAGGAAACTTATAGAATATTTTATAGAAGGGTTTGGCTATTATTTGAGTATCTTGATGAAATTTCAAAGTGAATTACAATGTATCAATCATATATCCTGTTCATAGTTTTGAAGAACGAAATTCAGAGAGCTTAATTATGATGACCAATTCTTATCGCAATTTTGGAACACAAGGTATCTTTTCTGTCTGGTTTCACAGCTCAGAGATATTCACAATGTATCCGACTATGGACTTATTGAAATTTGATAAATCCACATTTTTTAAAATTCTGAGACAATATTTCCTGCAACAAAGTAATTTTGCAAGCATTTCAAATAAAATTTGCTAGATTTATGCACTCAAAAATAAGTTTGCTCATATTTTTCAAGAAAATGATCCTATCCTCACTGTTGAATACCGATCTTATTAATATCTGGTTTAAGATTCTTCTACCAATCTACCCTACACTGCATTACCAATTTGAAGGATACTCAAGGCCTCGTGCCCAAAGGGTACCACTGCAACTCAATGGCCAATTTTCTGAAAATAAATTTTATTAACTTATAAACGCTCATGAGAAGGTATTTAATTTTCTCTGAATATCATAAAAGAGAGGAATTTTGAATATTTTATAAAATCGTATTGTATAAATGCCTTTTTATAAACTAACAGTATGTTTCTGAGTGTGAATCTTGATCGCAATTTGTTTCAGAATTATCGATTTTCACGTCTCTTCCAATTTTCTACATTTCTATACAAATTTAGATATCGATTATTTTTGAATAGGCATGCCACAGTTTCCGAAATACATAATCGTAATTCCAAGATAAATTTTCTAAAAATGCATTCTTGTAGCCTTCAAATCGATC